GGATTTTATTTATTGAAAACTAAGCATGCCAGAACGTTGAAATAAATGGCGTTGTCTTTCGTAAGAAACGCGGCACCGCAAGTAAAAATTAGAAAAAACGAAATTACGAATGTACCTCACTACTTGAATTCAAATGAAAACCGTCCGCCGGTCTTTCGAAGTTCGACGAAAGGTCGAAAGTTTACTCTAAAAGGTCGAAGTTTCGTCGAACTTCTGACTTTTCAGAATTCGACAGTTCGAAAATTGTCGATTTTCTCTTGATAAATACGCTTGAAAGTTCGAAAATTATCGAAATATTTAGCTTTGGAAGGTCGAAAGTTCAAAAAGCTTCGAACTTTTTAGTGCAAGAAGTTCGAAAATCGTTCAAACGCTTTTGGTTTCTCAAGTTCAAAAGTTCGACAAGCACCGAATTTTTCAGCGTAATAAGATCGAAAAGTTCGAAAAGGATCGAATTTTTTTGCGTAATAAGTTCGACGGTTCGAAAAGCATCGAACTTCTTGGTTTAACAAGGTCGAACATTCGACTTCCGTCGAATTTTACGATACAAAAAGTTCAGAAATTCGAAATCTTTCGAACCGCTTGATGCGATCATCGAAACTTCGGTTCGAAAAAAAGTTCGGCATTCCTAGTTTTTACTCAGGAAAACGGCATCCCACAAGGAGGTGCTTGAGTGTTACCTTGTTCGGAATTAAGAGCAACAGCCGCGCTGCAGCTAAACCACCATCAGTTTTTTTTTATTTATTGTACACGTAGAACAATGTCCAGATTGCTTTCTCATTATGCAACTTGTCAATTTGTGAGCGCCATTGCAGATAGCAATAAATAGGATGAGTAAGTGGGCCGATGAAAATGGGCTCCGGTTTGCACCAGAGGAAAACGGGTGCTGCGTGCATTTTTCATTACGTCGAGGGTTGTCGCTAGATCCCAGCTTGCAGATGAATGGCACTGACATAACCGTTAGGCATGAACACAAGTTCTTGGGTGTTATTTTTGATAAGAAGCTTACTTTTCAGACCCCTCTAAAGGAACTGAAACGAAAGTGTCTGACAAGAGGTGCCTCCTGCGACTCTACAACTCGTTGGTTCGTTCCCGTCTCGACTATGGTGCGGTTGTATATGGCTCGGCACGACCGTCATCTTTAAAAATGCTATATACTGTTCATCAGCTTAGACTTCGACTTGCCACGGGGGCCTTCCAAATATCGCCTGTGCCGTGTTTGTATGCGGAGACGTACCAAATGCCACTAGAAAAACGAAGACAATACCTCGGCCTGCTAAAGTTATAAAGTCAAATCTGACCCTGAACACCCATCCTTCCGCTGTTTGCAGGCATCTTCTTTTTTACGTGTTTTTGAGAACAAGCGAAGGATAGTACGGCTTTTAAACCTCAGCATTTAAAGTATGGCTGCATCGCTGCAGCTTGAACTTCCTGAGCGTAGTTTGATGACGAGAGTTCGAAGCATTGCTCCTTGGAAGGCGGTGCACTTTACGTGTGACTGGTCGCTGGCGATATACAATAAACGATCTGTTGCGCCACTAGTTCTTCAGCAAGAGTTTGTGACCTTGCAAGCTAAGTATAAGGATTATGCACAATTCTTCACTGATGGTGCAAAAACTCCACACTTTGTAGGTTCGGCTGTATATTCAGAATATTTTGAGAAAGCTCTGTTGCTCTGTTGCCAGCATTTTTACAGCAGGGCTTTATGGTGTGCTCATGGTTATTGAATGTATATTAGGCAACAATATCAGGAAAGCTGTTTGTTTTTTGGACTCCCAGAGTGCTCTCCACTCTCTCTGTTCCCTCACTGATTCTAGGAATCGGCTTGTGCAATAAGTAGGCGTAAAGTAAACCTGGCCCCCCAAGTGGGATACCATTATCAAGTTGTGCTGGGTACCAAGCATGGTGGGAATTCCAGGTAATGAAAAGGCAGATAGGGTAGCCGCCTCTGTCAAGGGTACCCTGGAAACACCGTTGGGGGTGCCTCAAGAAGATATTATACCAGTTCTCAAAAAAGCAATTTATAACGCCTGGCAGCTAGATTGGGACAATGAAATATATAATAAGCTGCATGTTGTCAAACCACGTTTGGGGGGTATGGGGGAGTTCCGCACCATAGAGACCGTCGCCGTGAAGTTTTAATGTGTCGTTTGAGAATTGGGCATTCACGTGTGACCCATCGACATCCTCTCTATGGGGAGGACATGCCATTCTGCGAGCATTGTGGTGAATTGCTAACTATATTGCACATTCTATGGCACTGCAAATTCTTTGTGTAACGGCATCACTCGCCTCATCTAGCAACAATGGCCTAGAAGCGGCTAAGCATTGAACTGATTAAACCGGCTCCGACAGTCAGTCGAGTCGCAGCACTCATAACGTGCACATCGTCCTCCCGGCTCTTTACTAAAGACACGTCCCGGAAGTCGTTACATGGCGTCAGAAGTGGGGCTCGCCAAGCTCTCGCCAAGTTAGGCCTAGGCTCCTACGCCGCAGCCGCGCGGCTGCCCTGCGCTGCCCACGACAGGCTAGGCCTAGACTCCCACGCCGCAGCCCACGACAGACTAGGCCTAGACTACTATGCCGCAACCACCGCTACCTGCTCCCTGCCCTACTGAGCAACCATGGACGGACTTTGCCCCCAGACTGCCTGGTGCTCTCCGGAAACATCGCCGAGAATTGGCGTAAGTTTCGACAACGCCTCGGAATTGTACCTCAAAGCAACAAACACAGAAAAAGGACGTAGCTCCAAGCAGAAGGCAGCCATACTTCTACACGTAGCCGGACCTGACGCAATTGAAGTGTTCAGCACTTTTGGGTGCACGACAGAAGAGCAAGAAAGCTTCGAGACGCTGCTTCACAAGTTTGAGAACTATTGTCAGCCCCGTATACGAACGAGACTTACGAACGATATGTGTTTAGAAGGCGCGTCCAGAGTGACGGCGAATCGTTCGAGAGCCCTTCCTACGTGACCTACAAGTGAAAGCGCAGTCTTGCAACTTTGGCGCGCTGCGGGACTCGATGATCCGTGACCAGTGTGTACGGCACAGCAGATAGCAAACTACGAGAACGACTGCTGAGGGAGGACCCGCTCACCATGGAAAACGCCATAAAGCTAGCACAGGCTGCGGAAATGGCGGCCAACCAGAAAAGAATCTGGGACGACTCAGAAATGACGGTAGAAGCGCTGAGCAAAGTCAAAGTACAAGAGACAGCACGGGATCCTGTTTTGTCAAGGGTCATGAAAGCTAAATCATCAACCGCTCATTGGCCAATACAAGTCTTATGCCTCGGAACTTTCAGTCATAGGTGGTCTGCTGTTCAAAGGAACCAAAGTGGTGATACCGAAAGTGCTAAGACCCGAAATGCTCCGGAAGCTGCATGCGGGTCACTTGGGAATAAATAAATCAAAGGTAAAAGCTCTTCGATTGATGTTTTGGCCCGGAATGTCTCAAGAGATCAGGGATATGATTGACCGGTGTGAAACGTGCAAGGTTAACTCGTATGTTCAGCCCGAAGAACCGCTGTTGATGAGACCATCTCCCGCTTCTCCGTGGACAAGAGTAGGAGCAGACTTATGTCAACATGCAGGCAAAACATATCTGGTTGTCTATGACGCCCACTCTAACTACCCTGAAGTTGAAAAACTGGAAAGCACTACGGCTCCTGTCGTCATATCAAAACTGTCGTCTATATTTGCTAGACACGGCATACCACTCGAGGTCTTGACAGACAACGGGCCCCAGTTCAGCTCCAGAGAATTCGCGACTTTCGCAGCAGATTACGACTTCAGGCACATCACCTCGAGCCCTCGATTTCCGCGATCCAATGGGCTAGCCGAGAAAGGTGTACAGATCATCAAACGTATCCTGAAAAAGACTTGCTCTGCAGGAGGGGACTTCTATCAAGGTCTGCTGAACTACAGAACTTCGCCCTATGAGTGCGGCCAAAGCCCAAGCGAGCTGCTGATTGGACGTCGTCTACGCTGTGGCCTACCAGACTTCATCACGTCACCGGGTGTTCCACCCACAAAGCGGATGCAGCGTCGCACCACCAGAGAAGCACTACCAGGACTGCGTCCAAGCAATGTCGTTCGAATGAAAAGTGACAAAGGATGGACGACAAAGGCAAAAGTCAAGGACCAAGTTGCTCCGCGTTCCTACAAGGTTGTCACCGAGGATGGTGCCGAGTATCGCAGAAACAGGCAGCACTTGCGGACCACTCCAGAGGCCTTCAACATCGACAGACATCACGAGGAGTGGACCACAACGCAAGCTGCAAAAGAAAGCCCGATGAAAGACTCTTCAGGCGAGACCTCAATGGAGTCTAAGCCAAGAGACCCCCCGCTTCAAGACCAGGACGGTTCGCAGCCCAATCAGCCCAATCTGGATCTTGGTCCTCCTGTCAGCGCTCATGCACCTGACCCACCACCAGTCCGACAGTCTAACCGGACGCGTCGGGCTCCACGAAGACTCAGCTATAACCGTAATTTTGATCAAGAGAAATATTAAACGCCTGTGGTTAAAGAAAGGGAGGTGTAACGGCATCACTAACCTCATCTAGCAACAATGGCCTAGAAGCGGCTAGGCATTGAACTGATTAAACCGGCTCCGACAGTCAGTCGAGTCGCAGCACTCATAACGTGCACATCGTCTCCCGGCTCTTTACTAAAGACACATCCCGGAAGTCGTTACACTTTGATAAAGAACGTCAAACAAGTTTCCCTTCACATTCCGGATATCTTCCATTTCATCCAGCCTTCTTGCTAGGAGATGAACCTTTAGTCCCCTCTCATCGCATTTGAGATTTTCTTAAAAAAACAGGCTACCTTAACCAGTTATAAATCTTCTGCATAGTAATTCCTTTCGTTCACTGTAGACTCTTTTAACCGTTTCTTTGGCGCAGCATGGCCTATGTTTATTTTTGCGCTTAATAATCATTCAATCAATCAAAATATTAAGCTAACCGTAATGTTGACATCACGAGAACCTTCCATTCCGTAGGTTCGAGCCCCTTGATCGAAGAAGGACCCGAGGCCGGCTCGACGGTGGCTCATCCAAGATGAGGTCCTTCTGCATTTCCGGATTCTCCGACGCCCTGGACTGGAGGCCCATCCTCTTCCAGGAGCCCGCCATTGCACACAGCGCGTGCGCACTGTGTGGACTCGTGTCCCTCAAAGCCATCAGGGTGTTCTGTGGCCACACGCTCTGCTCTGACTGCTACGAAGAGTGCTCTCGGCAAGAGAGCATCTGTCCCATCGATCAGGAATCCTTCGGCGACGATGATTGCTCCCGAATCGACCTTTCAGTGGGCTTCCTAGCCAAACGCCGGGTAAGTGCTAATGTCATGTTTGTTGTGTGAATTTTGAGGAACAGAAAGTGAGTACCTTTTGACTGAGATCATTGCATTGAGACACTACTTGACCTGTTCTGCGAGAGTGCTGAGCTAAGTTTTTTGACATTTATATTTCAATAGTAACTACATTGGAGTATAAAACCTCTACCTTGGTTTCATTAAACAAATACGAGCAAAGTAAAAAATACAGCCGCGAGAGTCGAGGCATTCCGAGCTGTCATGCTGCCCACGCGTACCCGTACCAGTGAAAGCTTGGCTTAACTCATCATCGTCGTACTTGTAGCTTGGGCTGTGCTTGATTCTTGATTATCGAAGGTAGAATAGTAATTTAGTTTTCTTCGTTCACATTAAACTAAAATGTGGGCTTAAGGTTTCCTCCTCAAAAGTTTTACCTACCAAAACACGTCAGCTTTCGCACTTACCTCTGTGCTATTCTGCGTGTAACCGACATCTGTCGGATTTGGCGCGGCACACAAAGAAATTATAATTAAGAAAACAGTAAAATGAGAAACTCTATTAAAACAAATTGCCATCAGTAACACAAACCCCTCTGGATTACCAGTAATCAAGAGAGCATGAGTTCATGTGTCGCAGCTAGCAATGGTTTCACAAACATTCTCCCCCAGTAAAAAAAAAAAAAATGTTAAAAAAAAAGAAACTATAATATAGGTACTTATGTATGCCTTATACAAGTTATATAAATTCAAATAGGTTCATTGGACAAACCGCATAAGTTTTTATAGGGACGTTTTTACTTTCTGCTTAGTATGATTTCTTGCCTTTTACATTTTCATTTCTGGATATTGTAAAATTAATGTTTCATAAAGCACGTTCAGTGTATCTAAAGCACTTATTTCCCTATCACTAAAATCATGGCGGTAGCAAAGCCAAAGTATATGACATAAATGCATATCTGGATTTAGCCTAACTACGCCGAAATATCGCGGTAAGCATAGCTAAAGTGTGGCTTCACTGCAGTCGAGGATGCCCGAGATCGGCCAATTACAAGCAGCGTTATTACATAGTAGGTATGAGTAGATTCTTTAGGAAGTAGAGAATGCTGTTCTTCGCTACGGGATAGCGAACCCCAAAGTTCGCACGCTGCATATCTCGGAGCCGACTGCTCTATACCGATTATAAGTGATGTCCATAATAAGTTAAATGATGAAACAACGGTAACAGAAACTATTTAAATTGCCGCACACTAGTTATTAAAAATTAAAGAAACACACACACAAAAAACAGCATGACCGGTGATGCATACGTTGGCAGCGTTGTGTTCCCTATTGAAAATTTCATCAAGATACGTAATTTGGAACACTGACTGCCAGTCAGCAGCTTTGGTGGAACGTGGTGGACCATCAGACGTCATCTGATGGTCCATCAGATGACGTCTGACTGCCACTGCCAAGGGAATTTCTTCAACAAGGGCAGCATTTATATAAGAGTAAAGCTATACGCACTCAAAAATATCGCCAAATGCCTCGATAAAAAAAAATGTTCGAGAAAAAAAAGAAAAAAAAAAGCAGGACCACCCGGACCGAACCCGCTACCACTTGCGTACAAATCGGACACCTTGACCCCTATGCTATGCCATCGCTTTGGAAACTCGATTTGAGCATTCGTTTTATACGAGATGCTTCGGCTGCAAATGAAGTTAAGCCTTCAGCATGTTATGCAAAGCACTTGTACATTACTCGCCGTACTTCAGTTCTACTCACCTGCCATGTAGAGTACTTTCGCGTCGTAGAACGATCCTTTTGTTCGCGCGTCTCCGGCCCAGTAGACCTGGTACACCTTGTCGTCTTCAACTATACCGCTAATGTCCCTTACATCGTCGGAACTCACAACAGGCTGGGTCTTGTCGAGTAGAAATTCTACTAAAACATAAGACATTGTAGAGCCCGGGCAGGATCGACAGGTTGGAGCAAGCGGGCAAACAAAACGAGTCGAGAGCGATCGTTCTTGAAAGCTCGGCGAAGCCTCTATGGGCGAAGTGGCGTGTTCGGCGTTTGTTTCGGCAAGCTTCTCATCAAGGTTGTCGGTCGGCTGCGTGTCATATCTCTAACATCAGTGGTTTTATGGGCTCACGTCCCGAAATCGTTTTTTTGTACATAAGATTATTTTTCGTATTCATAGATTTGACGAAATAGTGGTATTCGAACGAACTTTACGTCCTTTGACCGTACGTCTGTTTGCACGTCAAAGCTGTTTGACGTACAGTCAGAGACAATCGATGTACAATCAGAATCGCCACCAAGACATCTGATGGCATTTCGCGGCGGCCGACTGCCACCAGGAAACCATCAGAAACCGACAAGTGGAGTCTGACTGGAGTTTGACTGTCGGTCAGAGTAACTTGTTGGCCAATCGGACATGCTTGACGTACAGTCAGGCACAGTCAGCGGTCCACTAGAAAACATTGACTGCCAAACAGGGTTACATTGATGGATTTTTCCTTCGGGTTATGTTTGCTGTTGAGCATGCATTTCCTTAAATTTGAGATTGGGAATATGTAGCGGTGCTTAGCACTACGATCGTACTGCAAACATCGCGAAGTATTGTCACATTACATTGTGAGTAGTGTTACCAAGATCTGAAAGTACAAAGGTTCTCCAGCTCCCCTTGTTTAATTAAGTGCCGTAAACGTTTTCCGACTTAGTGATACCCCCTTGTTTGTATTTTCTTGCACGACTTTATGTAACCCGCGTTTTCGATGTTTTTGGTCTCACCAAGGCGGCCTGCTGGAACAAGTCCAATGGCTGCAACTTCGAGGGTCCCGTTTGCAGTCTCTTGAAGCACTACATGGAGTGCGCTTTCCACGTTGTGTCCTGTCCTCGGTGTCAAGCGTCCGTACTGAGGAGTGAGGTTGTGGGACACTGCAAACGTGGTTGCCACTTACCCGCCGTTGGGCCCGTTGATGACACAGACCGCGCCACACAGGCATACGACAGCATCGAGCAGACAAGTAATGAAATCAAAGAAGCGTTGGGTAGGCACTCTGAAGACCTGTCCTGTCTGCAAACTAGCCTGAACCTGTGTCGGGAGGACTTCAGAAAAGCACAAAGGAGTTTGAAAGAACAGCTGGAAGCTCACTCTGTGTCACTTATTGAACACTTGTCCAGATTGCACATCAAAGGGCCTTCTCTTGCGGAGGGCAGACTGAGTGACGTCGCTGGTGAAGTGGAGAAGGGTTGTCAGGCCGGAAACTTCAGCGCACACGCCGAACGCTCGCTGCACGCCACAGAGAGCACGTGCCAAGGACTGCATCATGATCACCGAGGAAAGAAATTCCACTGGTACTTAAGGGAATTCGCAGCTCTGGAGGCACAAGCACTCGAGTATGAGGCCGCGGATGCTGAGAGCCCCCGGCACTATTTGAGCGGATACAACGTTTCCATTGTATGCAGCATTGAATGGGAAGTTTTCTGTAAGGTTTATATGTATTTAAAAATATATCCTGGAGCCTACGATTCAAGCCTGGAATGGCCGTTCAGCAAGACTGTCAGTGTCAGATTCGTTCACAGCGTGGACGAAACTTTGAGTCTTTCTTTCTCAGTTGATATGAGTATATGCAATGGTGACGAGTTGCAGAGGCCAAACGGAAATTCCTACATAAGTGGTGCATTCTTGAAGGTGTTGAAACTGGAGGATATAAAAAGGTCTGGGTTTGTTAAAGGAGACACAGTGCACCTGTGCTTTGAGGTCGTGTAATTGAAAACCTGCCTCTGTTACGAACGAATGACAAGAAAAAAGAAACAGCTAAAATTAAAATTAGCATCTTTACGTCTTCTTCAATATCGCGGTATCATTGATAGCGCAGTTTTACAGCTGTCTTTTTTTTGTTTGCTAGAGCTAAATCACCTTCAGGCACAATAGGGAGAAAACTTGGATGTTGATATATCACTTTAACCCATTTACTATATCGTACTGGTTTTTCTGTTGATTACAATCATATATTTCATGTAAAAATAAAATGAAACGAGATAAAAACGATGGATTGACATAATGGTTTCGTTATTTTATATTTTCTATTTGTTGCAATTGCAGCTTGATCAAGCAAGAATTTTTTAATTTTGTGAGGATGTCTGTGCCCTTCTGAGACGAAAATGGCGCTCTTCTGGGGCAAAATAAATATTGGAGTGGTGAACTTTATCCGTCTCTTGCACTTGGTTCTTCAGGCACGCTATGTCATTTTTCGAGAAAGAGTGCGAAAGAGAAAAAAGAAAACTTAAAAAGTGCTCGTTGGCCCATACGCACCGAGGTTCACGGGCGGGAAGTTAAAGAAGAGAGAGCTGGGCGAAGAGGCGGATGGCGTACTACTGCCAAGGATCACCGAACTGCAAAAGGACGCTACTAGTGCCACTCGATAAGCTACGCTTCAGAGTAATGGCACTTACCTATCTTGGAGCTTAAAATCATGGCGGCCAGTTATCTGAAGCTTTATCTTAAATTACAGGAAACTCTTTCCCGTCCTCCACAAATGTTTAAACAGTTCGCGACAGTGGGAAACAATGTTATGCAAGCTCACTAACATTAAATCTAATGCTGAGGAAGTCTCGCTTTTGAATCCTGACGATCGGCAGTTGCGTCTGGCCTGCACAGGCACCAAAATGGCGGCGCCCACAACAATGTCGGGGAACAGCGTGCCGATAGTCTAAGCGTAACTCATTCAGTGTATCTATAGCCGGCGACAGGTCAAGAACGAAGTGGAAGCTCCTCCCACCCTTTCCACTTCAGCAGAGCCAACGGTGGAGAGGAGGTCGCCTCCTCTCCAGCGTTCGTTCTGCTAAAGTGGAAAGAGGTGGGAGGAGCTTCCACTTCGTTCTTCATCTGTCGCCGACTATAGACGCTCCGAGCCATCGCAGCCAATCGAAAGCTGCGAAAGCATCACGGAAACGCCCCTGCCACAGTGCTTGCGTTTGTTCGCAATGTTCACAGTGGCACCGTGTGCACGAAACCGACGAGGGAAAATGAAAGGCGTTTAGAAATATCTGTAATGCGAAACTAGAGCGCAGCTCTTAAAGAGGAGGAAGGGAGGGTACGGGGGGGGGGGGGGGGGAAGAATGCCCCCTCCTCCTCCTGCCGCTGAATTTGTTTATGGGTGACGTGACACGGATTCGTGACGTCATTTTCCCCGCTAATTCTAGCGGGGAAACTGAATTCGTGTTGAGGAAACCTGACGACCGCTAGGGACGGTGACGACCGCCCCTAGCGGTCGTCACCGGCGCCGCGCATGCGCCGTGGATGGTGGGCAAGAAGCCCGCCGTCGCCCATAAACAAACCATTGAATTGCGTTGTTGTCGGCGTCGGTGGGAGTCCCCGTGCTCTTTTTCGCGTTGGAATTATATGCTACGTCCTCCTAACAATGCCTGACTACTTGAGCGGCTTCAGCAAAACTAACGAGGCAAAACTTTGCGTGAATAATGTGACGTGCGGCGATTCATTTCACGTGGACGCCGCAGAATGGGCGCTAAAGCCTGACTCCCGCGATGAGATTCTGCTCGCTGTTTTCAGACGCGGCATTGCTCGGACTGCAAAAGCGTGGACCGTAGCTTAGATGGTGGACGTCGATACTGAAAACCGCAAGTAGAATCAGGCATTACAAGTCGGTGATGGCCACCGGTAAGAATAATGATAAACATCTTCTTGTATCTGTTTACACTTAACCTACTTACCCCAACCAACCTTCAAAAGTGTTTTGAGGCCTGCACTTAGTTCTTATCGCAATTACCGGGTCAACGTTTGGTCTACGAGCCGCTGTCGTTTGAACGAACTGACGACAAAAAGCAGCCAAGTTTGAAAGAGCAGACGACAGTTCGAACGCACGCGCAATGGAGTACGGGCAAGAAGCACCGCGTCCCGCGTCAACAAACCATTCGAATGTCACGTTGTCGGCGTCTGTGTGAGTCTGCATACTCTTTTTCGCGTTGGAGTTGTCGATCCTACGTCCTCATCGCAATGTCTTCATTACCACTTCAATCGCCTGAGCGACATTATCAAGGCTCGTTACGCCGCTAAACTTTCCGTAAATAATTTGACGTATGGCGATTCATTCGCATGAACGCTGCAGAATGGACGCCAAAACCATGATGAGATTCTTGTAGCCATTTTCGGTCGCGACGTCGCTCGTGCTGCAAAAGTGTAAAAGGTAGCGGCGATGATCGACGTCGATACTGAAAATCGGAAGCGGAAACAGACAAAGCGTAACAAGTAGGTGATGGCCACCGGTACCAATAATTAACATCTTGTATCTATTGTTTACACCGAGCCTACTTAAGTCTTTTGAGGCCTGCAATTACTTCTTATTGCAATCACCGGGTCAAAGTTTGGTCTACGGGCCGCTTTTGTTTGAACGAGCAGACGACAAAAAACAGACAACTTTGAAAGAGCAGACGAAAGTTCGAACGATCAGGCGGCCGTGTGAATTTGAAGACGCACTGAATCCGTGGGTGGTCCGGACAACTTGGGGGTTTTCTCTCGGTCATGTTGGAACAAAGCAAATACATCTGGCGACTACAAATTGTGGCCCGCACACGCAATCGTAGTTCGACAGCGTCAGGTTTGCCCTTTTCACGGCTGCTATCCACGTTCTCGGACGAACGGAGGGTGCAAAAACACATGAAAACTGATCTTCAAACCTTTCCAGACTCTCTTGGTAAAGCCCCCATCGCAGCATTTTGACGAGAAGGCAGGTTTTTTGTCTCGTTTCTTCCAAAGGAACACAGGAATGCATGTCTGGCACGGCGACTTCTGCCCACCGCCCGAGACCGGAAGTGCGTCCGGCGCGCCACCACCGCGGCGTGACGTAGGAGAGTTGAGTTGGTGTATATTTAGCCGGAAAATATTCCCCCCAATTTAGCGGGGAAACGTCTCATAATGCAAGGCGCGTGGTTACGCTGACGCCGACGCCGCTCCACATGGAAACGGGCCCGTAAGAGCTGAGCTCTATAGGCCCATACGCACATTCGCGTTTGAGCGCGGTGCGTTCCGTAGCGGCAAGCGGACGCGTTGCGTGGCGAAGACCGCTTGCGCCAAGCTTGTACGCACAGTTGCGTTGACACGCAGTCAACCGCAGTCAAGAGCCAATAAGAACGCGCTATCGTCGCTAGTGGCTCACCAATAGTAAGCGAAATCCAAGGCAACATGGCGGCGCACGGCGACGGCGTCAGTGTTCGATCTTGGGACAATCTCGCCGGCTTCCCCGACATTTTGTCAAGCTTGAACCATCGCAGCCTTGGAAAATACAGTCCCCACCGCTCCCCAAAACGAAAAAGCGAGCACTGCGACCGGCGAACCGGATACGTCTCGCCGAGTCGGCCCGGTGGGGCGAGCGAACACGTCACCCCATCTCCTCTTTCGACTTCTGATTGGTCGAACGCACCCGAACGCACCGCAACGCTTCGGAAAGTTGAGCGAGTCTCTACTCGCTTGCGTCGCGCTACCGAGCTTTGCGGGAAGGCGCGCGTCGCTCTGCAATCGACCGCGCCTGGCCGCAAGGACTCCGCAACGCACTCAAACGCGTTCAAACGCGAATGTGCGTACGGCCCTTAAAAGTCCTTCCCCTACGCCAAAGGGCGAGGCATCCAGACACGCAAACCTTAGTTTACAAAATGGGCAAGCCGTTTTGTAAACTATACGAAGTGGTGAAAATAATCCCTGGAGAAGGGGAACAAGAGGGACAAAGGACAAACACAAATCTCCAAACACAGCTAGGTGACTGGTGCGCGACCAAAAAAATCCGCCTGGTCCGGGTATCGAACCCGGGACCTCTCCATTACAGGTGGAGCGCTCAAGCGACTGAGCTAACCAGGGGTTAGACGTCAGTAGAGCAAACGGGTTTTATCAGCCGCCACCAGTATAACACCAAAAAAAAGTGAAGCTTGCAATTTAAGGTTATGATTATAATGCAATTAAATGCAAAGGTGCAATAATCCCTTCTCCAGGGATTATTTTCGTCATTCTTGTCCAGCTCGCTTGCACCTTTGCATTTAATTGGATTATAATCATATACGAAGTGCCGTGGACGCGCATCTCGGGCGCAAGCCACGACAACGGAGACCGCGGATCATCCTCCAGTGGTTGTGGGGGCTGGCTGCGGGGGTCCCGAGCGCGTCAGAGGTTCACGCGGTGGCGTAGACGCAGCATCGGGTCGCCATATTTCTGGGTATCCGGTGTGATCTTTCGCTACACTTGCGTTCTCGAGACCCATGTATGTTGTGTCTGGTAAGTTCTCCGTTTATCTATCGCTTTTAACGTTACTAATGCTCACACACCGACGGACGGCTTTCCCCGCGGGGCGCGTCCTGGCAATTCTCGCTGGAATCATCGCTGTCAGTCTATTCTCTCCGACCACAAACAAACAAGGGCCAGTGTCTCAATGTTTGGGCTCTAGCCGTGGGCCCTGTCCTTGGGAGCTGAAGTTTTGGCCTCGTGGCGAGGGTGGTTTTGTCCGTCCGATTGGTTGAGAGGGCTTTGGGGCCTGTACCGAATGGAATTCTATCTAGCCCTGATTGGATGAGATATGTTTCGGCGCACTGTCATAACCCCCGACCGGACGGAAAATCGTCGAGTTTAAACGAGCCCGAGGGATCCAGTAGTACACTCCCGCGGCTCGCCGCGTTACTACAGTCGTGCGTGACAGCCCCTGCTCTACGGCTTAAAGGCCTGTCCACACAGGACAGTACAGAAATCGTCAGGCGACTCGACTTCGACAAATCGCTCGGCGCTCCGCTTCGGGCCGTTTTCTTTTTTTTTTTGTCGGGGGGAAAGTTTGTTTTGGTCAAATCTCGCCCGTGCCTTCCACGGTGGCCTTGATGTGCTGATCACGTGGGCCCGGAGAGCCACCCACACGCTCTGTTCGTTGTGGGTCAATCGCTCAAGGCCTCCGCCTTATTTCAGGTTCCGAAAGCGGAAAATTAAATGACACCAAAACGCACGCTACGACGCAGGAATCTCTCAAATCCACCCGAAGCCGGACCTTTTTGGCCTTCCTGCCGAGGCAACGGCGGAAGCAAGGCCAGCGAGCCATGGGAGAACACCTGTGGCAGGTGGCGTGTGACGTCAAGTCTGACGAGCACCGACGCCAAAGAAAAGTGGAGAACGCGAGGAGAAAAGTCGTGACGTTGGCTTGCCCACAGAAATCGTCTGGCGAT